TGGACACTCCGCCCACCGGCCTGGCGGTGCTCCGGTCCTGCGATCCGGCCCCAGGCCCGCGGGGAGCGTGGCGGCGGTCGCCTAGGCCCCTAGAGATGGAAGGGCAGATCTCTCCAGGATGGCTGCGTTCCCGAATTCTTCAAGGTTCTTGCTCTAGACCGAAGGGGGATGGCTGCTTCTCTGCCCCTGGGGAGGGTTGTAATGCAGGGGTCGTTTTGCTCCCAGAAAAGTGGGGAGGACACGGTTTTGACAACGCAGCGCTGTTGGAAAGTGACAGTTGGAAAGTGACCTCTACATGGCTTTTTAGGGTCTGTTGAGGAGCATTAACTGCTGTCATCGAGTCTACCAAACTGAACTCCCTGAGGACAGAACAAGATTGAGATCTGAGTCCTCATAACCTCAGTACTTAGGTGCAAAGTAGTGGTTCAATAAGTGGATTGAATGCAGAATGAGTACAAGAATGAAGATACATGTGTGACTGGAACATGAAGTCTCAAACCAGAACTAGTTATAATCGGTTCCTGACAGATCTCCTCACCCCTTAGCTTTTAATTCGTTTAATAAATATTGAGTGCCTGTTATGTGCAAGGTATACTGCAAGAGATACAGCAAAACAAGACAGGTAAGGCTGCTCTCAGGACCTTTACGCATCTGGAAAGAGGAACACAGAGCTTGTAAATAACTAACTTCAGAGTGACAAATGCTATGAAAAAGATAAAATGGAGTGATGTGATAGGAAAGAGGAATAGTATTCAAAAAAGGCCTCTTCCATTTGAACTAAGACCTAGAACTAACAAGGAAGCAGCTATAAGAAGGTCTGGTCTAGGGAAAGAGCATTCCAGGCAGAGAGCACAGCCAAGCATAAAGGCTCAAGACAAGAATAAACTTGCCCAATTTGAGGAACAAAAAGAAGGCCATTGTGACTACAGGGATAGTGGGAGATGAGGCTTGGAAAGTAAACTGAGACCAGATTGCATAGGCCACAGTAACAAGCGTGGGATCCTCCCAATCCGTTTTGTATACTGTTGTCAAATTAGCTTTTCAAGACTAAGGACCTCTTTCAGACACCTCTTCCAATCAAAACCCTCTCCACATCTCCCAATGCCTTTCCAATAGCTATAGCATGATATTCAAAGCCCTCCATAATTTAACCTCTACCTACCTTTACAGCATTTTTATCATTACATCCTGGCTGAAGTTTTGACTTAAGCAATTCAACCCATTTGCTAGCCTCTGCACACACCTGGTATATTTTCACTCATATCCTTCCCTTTAAATTTTTATCAAACTATTATGTGTGCTTAGTCAAATAGCATTAAGAAAGATTTTTAACAGTAGTCTTCTATCGCATTTTCATCCTCACTCCAGTGTGTGTGTGTGTATGTGTATTTTTTAGCTCATACTTATTTTTTTTCCCTGAGGAGGGGGTGGGGGAAAGTAGTCTGAATTGGGTTATAATGCCCCCATGTAGGGTACCTCAACTCAGCCATTGAACTCACTTCGTACGTAGGCCACGAGTCTGTTCCAAGCACAGGTTAAGCGGTCATCTGCTAGGACTCTCCCCGAGGGCGGATACACGGCATCTCCTGTCCCCTCTGCCCTAGCCCCAGAGGTTCCTTCTCTGGGAACTTACCTTACATAAGCTCAGGGAGGGCCCTATTGGGGCTGCTTTTGGCCCCGGTCTCAGACTTTCACAGGGGACGTGGGGTAGAGTTACTAAATGCACCCAGCTCGTGGCCCCACGGATGTTTCCTTCCACCCTGTAGCTCCTATTTCTTAATTTATGCATTCTGGACATTGTTTATTTATTTCCAATTTTGATTGATGAATTTATCTTTCTCCCATCTCCCCCTAACCTCTTAACTTTACAAAATCACACTTTTTGGTTAAAAATAATATAGTACTTAGTATTGATATTTTGATTATGAATAAATGCTTCCTTTAAAACTTTTTCTCCAGCGTTCATCACTGCCTTGCTTTTTCATTTGCTTTGTTTTTTATATAGTGTACTTATCATTAAGACTTTCCACATAATCTAAGTTTCTCAGTACATGTTTTACTCATTCAGTCCAATGTACTAGATAATCCAACCGTTTTCTATCTTGGAGCCTTCCATTCCATTGTTCTGGTCTGTGCTGCTGACTGTCTCAGCCTGTGAACAGATGTCATCCTGGGACTTCGCTATATCATTCTCAGAATTCCCTTTACCTCTCCTCTGTGTTGGATCGGTTTCCTGGATACTTTACTTCTTTGCTTTAGTAAAGCACATCCCCTGGTAGTGTCCCTTGAAAGCATGGGAAATCAAAATCTGAGGGGGAACTTGAAAAGGTGAAAGTATGATTCTGAGTTGAAAGTAATTTTCCTTCAGAATTTTGAAGGAATCACTCCATTGTCTTCTAACTTCCAGTGTTGCTGTCAAGTGGTCAGTGTGATCTCTTTACTTTTTCTAAGCATTTGTACACAACTTATTTTAAACTCTTTGTAAGTCTTTAGGAAGTTATCTTTATCCCTGGAGGTTCTGAAATTTCTTGGTGATGTGCCTCATTTACTGTGCTAGGTGTTTGGTGAGCCCTTCCCATCTGGAAATTCAACAATATTTTCTTGACTTATTTAATAACATCACGACTGTTTTTCCTGTTCTTTCTGCAACTCCTGTCAGATGTTGGACCTTCTGGATTGATCCTTTTTTTCCCCTCATCATCCATTTCCTTTTTAAAAATGATTTCACCTTTTTGCAAGATTTTCTTAACATTATTTCCAACCTCTCCCCTAACCAATTGTATAGGTAAAATATTCATAATCCAAAATTCAGTAAGTACCTAAGGATGGATATACAGTCTCCCTCCTATTTGGCTCTGTAGTCCTCTAGTTCTCAGTAGGAAAAAAATGTTTACTTAATTTCTAAGAGCTCTTGTTCTCCAACTCCTCCTTTTTATAGCATTTTATTCAGACACAGTATCTTGCCTGAGTTTTGAGAATTAGAGCCCACCCTCCGCCCCAGGTTTTCAAGAAGCTCCCTGCTTTGTCAGTTTCCTTGGTTTTAATTTTCTGTTCATTTTGGTCCCTGCCTTTCATGTTGGAAGTTTCAAGTGTCTAGTGGCCCTTAACAGTCTGTTTATATTTAAGAGTGAGATACTAAAAAAGCTGATAGGAAGCTCTGTCCATGTACAAGGCTTATTACCTATAGTCTTCACTGTAGGGTGATCAGTGGGGGAAAGTTGGGCTTTTTTTTTGAAGGAAACAAAAACTTAAGTATTTGTAGGCCTTTTTTCTTCAATTAGTTTGTTTTTGCCAGGGGGACCAGCTGGTGTGTGCTGATATTCAGAGCTTTACCACTCATATACTTTCACTTAATCTTTCCTTTTCAATCTAGTCTCTCACTCCCATCCCCACCATGTCTGCTATTTAGTCTGGAGGTCCTAATAGTTTACATCTTCCCTGAGGTTCTGAAATTTCATGGTGCTATTTTACTCACTACGCTGGGCACTAACAAGTTGTCAGTCTAGAAACTCATGACTTTTTGGTTTAGAAACCTTCGTAAGTATTTCTTTGAGAATTTCCTCCCCACCATTTCTCCAGAGACTAAACTCAGCTGGATTGGATAAAGTGGGTACCTGGGGGGCTCTTTCTCATACAGACCTTCATCCGATTTCCCTCTATCCCACCCCTGGTTCGCAGCTCCAATCCTTACGCACTTCTGTTGAACCTTTTCCAGGTTCAGAATGGCACACTGGCTTGCTTCTTGTTAATAACCACCTCAGCAGGTAGAGCCCATCTCATTCTGCTCTGCTAAGTCAACGTTCACCCTTAATTTTTTCCCCCTAAATGTTCATGTTTCTCATTCATTATTGTCACTTCCTGTTTTCCCTATCATTGAGTGACATGCCTTTTTTGAAGAATTCCTTTGCTGGCATTTGAACAGGGTTTTGGAAGGAGTAAAAAGTCCATGTGTTTAACCTGCCATATTTAAAAGGACACCCTTTGCTTTGCTTTTAATGTTCCCTTCTACCCTTTCTATTTTTTAGGCCACTCAAGTGGCCTAAAGGCTTACATTCCTGTAAGCCTTCCCCAATCACCCCAACTAGAAGGAATATCTTCCTCCTAAAAAGTTCTATAAGCCACTTCTGATCTCTGCCACTCATTAGGTATAAATTAGAGGTATTCTATAATTATTTGTATTTAACTGTGCCTGTTAGGTCCATGCCATAACCTTCATATGCTCTCTAGGCAGTAGGTCAACTGACAAAGGAGAAACTGAGATTTACTGAATGAGAAAAGTAAATTAAGCTAAATGTTGGTCAGCCCATTTTTTCCTCTTTAGAAATACTGAGTAATGCCCCTTCACACCCCTGAGTACAGTTCAGTGTCCTCTTCCTCAGCTTACTCCTTTCCACCTAACTGAAATGAAGAAAGGCAGCCGTTTTCTCTGTGATGTCCAGAAGGGCCACTTGTACCAGAGACATCTGCCACAGTTGGAGTGTTAACACAGTAAGGGTTATTATAGGAAGGTAAGAACAAGCTCAAAAAGATAAGATAGAATGGCATGTCTCATGGTTGAGGTTAAAAGAGACAATATAGGAAGATGACAAACCGTAGCTCTACAGTCCAATAACAAATCCTTGCGCTATCTATTACCAATTACGGGACCTCTGTGAACTTCAGGCTCCTCACCTGAAAATGGGGTAAGACTTACTTCACAGGGCTGATGTGAAGGTTAATTACAGTAACACATGAAAAGTATTTAGCAAAATGCCTGCCATACAGCAAACACTCTTAATATTAGGGGAAAGCCTATTTCGCAGGATCTTCCTCTGTTCTTAGGATAACCATTGCTGGCTTGGGGTTGTATTTGCCTCTGCAAAAACTTCCCTTCACTATATGCTGAAGCAAAAAAATTCTGGATTGTGAGGCTCAAGTTCTTAGCTTTACCCTCCAAGAGTCATAAGACCTTGAACAAATTTCCTTGTTTTTAAGATGAAAAGTAGCCCAGCTTTCCTGACAGTAGTACCAGGTCAACTGGACAAAGCACATGAAAGACTGGCAGGTGTTAATGGGCCTTACATATGCTCAGCATTATCACCACCTGAGAGTTTGGACTAGGACTCTCTTATGTAAATAGGTTCAGGCACACCACTCCAGGACTTCAAATTGGTCCAGAAAGGCTAGAAAACCTGCCAGTACCATGAACCTTGGTGATGGTCAATTAGCGAGGCACCACAGTACCACCTAGTGGCCACAACACCCCTCTTCTTCCTCTCCACCAGGTGTTAAGGAAAGGCTACCATGTCAAAGAGGTTTCAGAAGTCTGTGGTCATCTACTTCAAGGGCTGATCAGTCAGAGTTGGAGAGAAACCAAGTATACCTCTCTCTCTGTTTTTTAATATCAACAAATACAGGCAGCAGAGAGGGCCAGCTGCTCTCCGCTGTTCCCTGTGGGGAAACCAGAGCACAGAGCTGTTCCTCTGGCCTTCCTCTAACTGCAGGGCCTGCCTAGCTCCTCCTTAGACAGAGCTGTTACCCAGCCCAACTTCCCTCATCCCAACTCCCCAGTATGGATGGCAGGCACATGGTTGCTGGCGGTGGGAAGAATACTGTAGTTCCAGCCTCTGCTCCTTTAAGTCTCAGCTCATGGTGGCACTCATCCCTCTGCAACTGGCCTCTCACTTGCCCTGGACCAGAAACCAGGAGGGCAATCAACCACAGACACAGGAGCAGGCAGTGCAACTTCAGTCATCTTCAGATGACTCTTCTTCTGCCTCTTTTAGCCACTGGATGAACCTCTGCAGCTGTAAGGAAGCACAGTGGAGAGCTGAGGGAGGGGCACATAACCCTCCCCTGTTCTCCTTAGCAGACAAACAGCTCTAACAACCAGAGTCCCAGGGACCAGCCACCCTGGAGTCTAGGGCCAGGAGCCAGGGAACCAGACAACCACTGCAGTGAGAGGAGGGCAGCTTGACTCACCTGCTGGTTTTTGCGCAACTGCCGGCCCTTGTCAGTTATGTCCCTTTGGCTGAACCAGCTCAGGATTGTTTCCTCAGCCAGGATCTCCAGCTGGTAAAAAGCCATCAGTACCTGCAAAAGGCCAGCAGAGATCTCAGGAGCCTTGCAGGGCCCAGCAAGATAGAATGGATAATAGAGGAAGAGGAGACAAGATCTTAGCCCCTCTTTCTACCAAACCCTCAGCCCTCTTCTACACACTGAGCAGCCTCCTCCAAAATGGACAAGAATAAGTACCACTCTGATACTGGGACAGGTCTAACTTCTGGAACTACTGCTGGGAAGTGCTTTGCGCATTCTGAGGGCAACCTCCAAACAGCTGCCTTCCTAGCCTGTACTATACTAGCAATAAGCACAACACTAGGGGTGGATGATGCAGTTAACCAAACTCCACACGGATTCACGTCAGCCTGTTCTGTGTCTCCATGGAGGTCACCAAGGTCTGTTCCAAAGCAAATGCAGGACTATGAGGCTCGAACTGGTACTCACCTTGGCCGAGGAAGTAATAAGAGCTTCGTGCTCCAGGAAGAAGTCCTCTATGGCTGCCAATGCTTCCAAATGATCAGCTGCACGCTTTACGTAGTTCCTAAAAACAGGGCTCCAGGCCTTGAGCAGCTGTGGAAGAAAGGGGAAAACTGCAATGTATTCCTGAGCATGCACCTATACCTGGACAGCAAAGAAAACCAGTATTGATAACCTGGGTCTTTCAAGACAAAAAAAGATGATACAGATGATACAGGCTCTGCGGAATTATGTCAGAGGGACTTGCAGGTTGTTGGCAGTCAGGATTGGGGAAAAGGAGAAGATTTCCCAGGGAGGGTGAAGGGGTTCAGATGCTGCAGGCTGCCTCAAAATATATGTTCCCATCCTAAAGGTTTATCTCATCCTGGGTCAAATCATTTCACTCAGAAACCATGACAGTCCAGGTCTATTCTGGGTATATCTTTGGGGTCTAGTATGGTCTCAATGCTGGGGTCTCAAAAGTCTCTCAGTACTGAATCCAGTTTGACTCCCCTGGACCACCTAAACCAGCTCTAGAACCCAATCTGTGTCCAGAGGCAAGGAGAAAGGAACCACACGTCACATATATCCTACAATAGGACCCTCTACTTCTGATTTCCTTTAAAGTCAAGTCCAGCAAGGATGTGTATCTGTCTCCACCCAACCCCCTGTACCCAGCCCCAATCTTTGCTTACAGGAATCAGCAGGGCACAGTAGCGATTTGGGTCAAGCGGGGAATCCATTTGTTGCAGGGGGAACTCCAGGATCACGTGGCTCAGTACCTGCATCACCTCCTTTAGGCTTATGTTGTAGGCATACCTGTGGGGAGATTGGGGTGACACTAGGGCCTTCACTGGCCCTTTCAGCATACTGTAGGACTATGACTTTGGCAGGATACCTGGAGAGATGAAGTCAGATGGAACAGGGAAGGGGAGGGTTTTGGAAGGGGGAAGTCCATGCTGAGGCTAGAAACTAATGTTCTCCTTGCTCCACATGCTACTGGTTTTGTCCAATTGGGGTGTTGAGGGAAAGAAAGGTTCCCACTTGGGCAAGTAACAGGAGAGAAACTCTACCTGCCTGGGATTACCCCAAGGAGAAGAGAATAGGGAGGGGCTGCTCTTACTTGAGAGAGTTGATCTCTAGGACTAGATTATCACAGGAAATGTTCTCCTCCTTGCCCCGCTGAAGTGTTCCCAGGACTTCATTCTGGAACACTAAAATCAAAGCAAGAATAAGTTCATGGGCCAGTGATGCTTTAAGTCATCCAGTCCTGACTTTATATGAAATCAAACTGGAGGTCTTCCTCTCTTGTCCAGACACTGCTCCCCTGGCCACTCACCTTTGATGTCATCCATCTGTGGGGAGCCTGCCCGGCTGTCTAGTTCCTCAGAATCCATACTATGCTCACTTTCAGTTTCACTCTCTTCTTCCATGTTGATTTTGAGTCCTGAGAATCCATAAGAGTGAGAAAAAAGAAAAATAAGGAAAGAGCCATTGACAGAGAGCAATGTATCTGCTCTGTCTTCATGAATAAAGTAATTAACCAGTAGTCTGATTCTGAAGTGGTCAATCTCCTTCAAGGTATTTTGACTTAGAAGGGCAGGGGTGGCAGGAATCAGGCCCAGCTCACCCCACAGATTCTGCCGTAGTTCCTCCTCTTCCTCCTTGTTCATGTCCGCAGCTTTCCAGAGGTAGCCCTGGCCTGCAACTCCAACTTCTGCTGGATTGTAACCTGGAAAAGGCACTGATCTTTAGCAAAGGCCCAGCAGAAGCACCAATCCCTTAGGAGGAAACACTCATTTTTCTATGGGGCAGAGAGACACACAGATGCCCCACACCTGCTGAGCCTCACACCTTTCAGCTTCACTTTCTCCTTTTCTTGGTCAGTTCCAGAATCGTCACTGAACTGACCATCATCCTCATCGTCCTCCGCATCTGGAGGGTGCAGAGAGATCACTGAGCCCTCAGGCAGCGTGATACTTGGGCCCACTACCACCTGGAGGAGACAAAAGGAGTGGGTGGCACAGATCCATTAGTGTGCTGGGGAAAAGTACAACCTGATAACGAGAGTGACTTCAGTAGAAGTAGAAGACAAATGAAACCACTGGATTTGGACTCTCAATTCAGAGTGGACTGGGTGGACGTAATGTCCTTTCTGGCTCAGCCTGGGGCCTGTGCGCAGTGTGGAGCAGGTCTTACCTGGGAAGTGAGGACACAGCGTGGCTTCAATATAACATTTTCTTTGACCTCAGCATTGTTACAGAGCAGAGACTGATGGATCTGTGCTGCAGCAGCTACACGAACGCCCTGCCACAGGAACGCCCGGTCCAGTACCACATTATCACCTGGCTCAGGACAGAAAGGAAGGATTCCTGGTCACTCAGGGCTCTGACTACAGCCCAGGGCCATTCATGGAGGATGGGGCTGACTGACACCAGCACCACTCCTACACAGAGCTCTACTACTCCATGCTCAATTAACCAGAAACACCCTCTCCTCCTTTAAGCTCAGGCCTGAGACTAGAACACTGCTCAGCCTGACTACCCTCCACCATGTTTATAGCAATTACAGACTACATACCTTAACCTGAGAACCGTCAAAATTTCTGGGGACCCCTTGAACTCAAGAAACTAATTAGAATCACATTCATGTCTCAGAGTAGAACCAAATTATTCCACTCTTTCTTGTACATTTTAGAATTAGAATCTTATTGTTCTTTTAAAGAGGCAGTTCCCTTAGAAGCATCACATTGTTACAACCACAGTGACTTACTAAGAGTAAAAAGAGCACTAGAACTACAATCATAATACTCAGATTCAAGTCCCAGCACTGCCTCTTATTAGCTATGACCTTGGCTGAGAACCTCTTTCAGCCTTTTTACTTATCTATGAACTGGAGATAAATAATACCTACCTCACAAGGCTTCTGTGAGGATTAAATGAAATAATGCATGCAAAAACCCCTTGTAAACTGCAATGCACTAAACAGATGTTATTACTGCATGTTAATTAACCACTTAGTTCTGAATGTGAAATACAGAGTACCCTGGAATGTGAAGAGTCATCCAATAACAGGCTCACAGGCCACAAATTAAAGTATCACTGTCTTTATATCCCTGTCTCCTCCTTTATTAAGGCAGGTACTCTAGTTCCTTATTCTTAGGGACCATCCCTCTGTATCCTTTTCTGGAGACCTGGGGCCCCCAGGTTCCTGCTCCTCTGATTGCCAGTTTGACTTCCCAACCTGTGCTCACCAATGTGACAGCCGGGGCCAATGACACTGTTGGTGATGGAGCAATTGCTGCCAATGACAGTGCCAGAGCCCAGGAGCACATTTTCCTCCAAGATGCTGCCATGGCCCAGGCTGACCTCAGGCCCCCGGTAGATGTTGTGCCGAGAGTGAGTGCAGCTCTGGGCTGCACTGTCAGTGAAGTTCGTCTCTGGTGTGAGAGGGTAGACCCATCGGCGGATGACATCAGCACAGACAGCAGCATACATGTGTAGGTTAGAGACCCGGGCACCATATTCCTTAGTTGTCACGTGCATGTGGATCTGGTTTCCTAAGATCTGAATGGGATGAGAAAAGGGATGTCATACAAGTAAGCAGGAGAGGAAGAACATCTCCAGGTATAACGCTTTTCTAACCTTCTTAAGTTCCCCACTGCCTCTCAACATCAGAGCCAAATGGCCTGAGACTTTGTGTACCGCTTCCCTCTCCCCTCCAGCTCTTTTTTCCCCTCCTAAGGGTCAATAAAAAAAAAAAAGAGGACCAAAAGTTACCAGCATGAGATAAAATTATAGCCGTCTTCTAAAGAGGAATTGGGAGCCTTTTCTTACCTCCTCATTCACTAACAGGCCTCGCACAAAGTCATCTCGGGTTTGGTAGTCGAAGTTGTCTGTGAAGAGTTGAGCCACCTGTTGGGGGAAGACAGAGGGGGCCAAGGTTAAGTGCTACTCTCTGGGAGCAAAGATAAGGCCCCCAGAGACCTATCAGACACTATGACAGCAGGACATGGGCTAGAATCCCAAAAGGCTGCTAATGAAATATTGGGGTCAAGATGATTACCTACTTGCTGTAGAACAGATAAGAGTAAGAGGGCGAAGAAATACAGCCTGGCTTTCTATGAGGGTGATCATACACCCTCAGAGTTCTACTCTTTGGATGTGCAGCCTTGGCCCTAAAGAGCTCACCTGAGGAGAGCAGATGCTGATATGACAATCCAGTAAATCATAGCGAATCTCCACTCCATCTCCACTGCCCCGGAATAAGCTCTGTGGGGAGAAGTTACAATGACTTTTAAGTTGTCTTTCCTGCTGAAGACTGTCACCTTCCCACCTCAAGGACCCCAGATACCTGCATACCAGGGGAAAAGAAAAACGTCGGAGGCCTTGAGTCTTCTGGAAATGGAGAACCCGGTTTGTGGCACTATCTACAGCCATTACCACGTTGTCCTCGGGGCAACGAGCTGGGTGGCTGGGGGATGACTCCTTGAAGATCATTGTCATCACAGATACATTTTTTTCTAGCTTCCGCCTCAACCTATAAAGGATAGGAGGGAGAGAGCTGCAATAAAGCAGTCTTAGGGCTCTGCTGGTCCCAAACCTTGTCTCTACCATTTCCCCATCCTGACCTGTGTTCTTCCAGGGCTCTGGTAATATTGATGTTTGAGATGACATCCCCATACACCAGAAGGAAGTCAGAGCGCACCAAGGCCTTGGCATCAACATCACGGAGAACATCCCCCAGTGATCTATATAGCTCTGATGTAATTATTCGAACTACATTGAGGGATGTAGGGCGGCACCACTTGGATTTCCTAAAGGAAGAGGGGTGAGGGGGATGAGTAAATCAAGCATAAAGATCATGTAGAGCTTCCCTATTTCTCCCGCATTTGCACTCCTTTGCTAGGCTTTTTTTGGGTTCCTGCCAGCGTCCTTGACTTCAAAGAGATTTATGAACTGTAATGAATGGTTTCAGCATAGTCTGTTCTCAGTCTTGTTTTATGGGTTAGAGAAACATGGTTACTTCCTCTCCATACCCTGACCCCAAACATGGATTTGAACTAAAAATCCTGCTGAGACTTGGGTTACAAAGTATCTTGGGAATACACTTTTCATGCTACTCTTCTCCTTTCAAAGCTCATACTAAATTTAGGAACTGTCTGATGAAGATCATGCTAATATCCTAGACTCTATTTCCCAAACTTCCATAAACGCTGAGAGTCATTCTTTTTCAAAATGACTTCACCAAACATTTGTTAAGTGTTTACTATTTGCCTGGTACTAAGCTAGGCACTGGGACTACAAAGATGAGGAAGAGCTCAATATTTAGAAGCTCAGTGGAAAAATAAGGATGTTACTCTTGTTACTTGCACATTGGAGCCACTAAATAAAAAGGAAAACCCAATGGGACCAAACTTTGCAAGTAAAATTCAGAAAAAAGCAAAATGTTTTTCTTTAATCTTTGTCACAGTGCCAGCTGCTCACCTAAGTGAAGAGAATGCCCTTAGATCTTATGATGGGATCCAAATGGACACTTTTCTCCCTCACAATTTCCCTTTATTTAGTTACATCCATCCTAAGGAAACTGAAAAAAAAAAAAAGGTAAAACATGGAAAGAAAAGTTGCAGAGCCTTACAACAAATGGTCCTTGATTTGAGCAGCCTTCCAGCAACAAAAGACAAAGGTTTCCTGTACACCTGTGGCAGTCAGAAATTCCAGAGTGTAGTCAATTAGTGCCACATTGGCCAGGGGCAAGAGGACCTGGAGGGGAGGAGATGAAAAACAGTTTGAAGTCTTGAGTCCATGAGGGTACTCTGGGTACCATTCTTTCTCCCATTTCAGTTACAGTTTTCACCCGTCTCTCAGTGTTTTCACACACTAATTTTACTTTATCTTTCCTATTTAAAAGTAATCCAGGCTCCTACCTTTAATGTTCATGGCATGCTCTAAACATAGAATCTAATCTGTTGCAGTTTGGATATAGTAAGCATGGAATCTACTTGCTTAGCATGAGACACAGAGCTACTACAAGTACAGCAGACTACCCCTGAGAAAAAATAACACTAGAAATCAATCAAATCTTCAGAAAGTTAAGTACCATAAAGCCTTTTTTCCTATAAAATTTCCTTCCTTGATCCCTTTCTAAGAGTCATCCCAATCACTTGTCCAAAATAAAGAGGCATTAGACTATTTTGGGGAGCAGGGAGTCAAAGAGGATTTTTCCTGAACCGAATACAAATCCCTTTCTTTTGAACTGGGGACTGCTGAATGACCCAGCAATCCCTAGGACTAGCTCAGTCCAATTCCCCAGTGTCTAGACAATACAGTGGATATTGGCAACCAGCCACTAAACCCGTTCTGTTCTCCTTTTGACAGATGGCACTGGCTGTCATTAAAACCTGGAAAGAAAAAAAGCACACTGTTCAAGATCCAAAACAGCTGTTACTATGGGATCAGACCAGTTTGCTCTTTTTTTAGGCACATGACCTCCCTTTTGGAGGCAATAGGAAATGACATTCCCTTTTACCTAAGGATCTCTCCTCTACAGAAAAACAGCGCAGCCTCCGCTTGGGGCACTGAATCCCTGTGTGAAGGCTTCTCACAGGCACCGCTTCTACATTCGCCCTTTGCAGGAATCCTTAACCTGAGGTGGACAGCACTACGAGTTCCCAAATCTGCCACTCACTCACTGATCCAGGCAGTCATCGGGGCTTTAGACGGTCTCTCCGCCTTCCTCCCAACCAGTTAAACCTGATTTCTGGGAAACGGAGTGCACACAAGTGCTTCCAGAGCCCGCTTCACTAGACAATCGAAAGGATAACTTGCTGAAGCCTCGTCACCTCTGGGCCCTCTGGCAGCTCTCGCGCGCGGCGCTCACCCGAGGCTGGTCCTTGGAGATGGGGAAGAAGCGGCGGTCGAAGCTGTCCGCCACCAGAACTGCTTGTAGGGGCGGCGGTGGTTCCTCCTCCGCCCCTCTGGCTGCCCCACCGCCGCCGCCTCCCGGTCCGCTGCCGCTGCGCTTGCTGGCGCGGGAGGCCACCGCAACAGGCGGCGCTACCACAGTAGCCGCCATCTTCCTCTCTCACGACCACCACTTTCCGCACGGAAACTGACACCGCACGCGGTAGTGGACAAAAAGGCCCAGCACTCGAAACGCGAAAGACTAGCGAAGGGAGGGCGGGTGGAGCCGAGGGGAGAGGAGTGCGCATGCGTCTCCCCTGAGCCTGCCTGAGGTGTGAGCAGGAAGGAGCTGGGCGTGCTAGCCCAGCAGCCTGGGTGATGGCCTGTCGAGGCGCCTGGGTGACGGCGTCCTATGGATTGCAGACTCCATCTGCAAGTATAGCCAGCCGTCATTTGTACGTGAGCAAGCTCAGACTCTTGCGGGATAAAGAGACTTGTGGTCCCTGCGAAGCGGCGAGATCTTTCTGGATATATAATCTTCCCCGCCTCAAGCACGTTAAACGTTGTGGTCCTCCGTCTTCATTCCCTTCACCTCGGCACCTTGGGGAGCCAGACGTTCCTTTCCCTCAGGGCACTCGCAGTCTACATAATAGAGAACGTGGAACAAGGAGAGTAGTAATTCTGCTGAATTCCCTTCACCTCGGCACCTTGGGGAGCCAGACGTTCCTTTCCCTCAGGGCACTCGCAGTCTACATAATAGAGAACGTGGAACAAGGAGAGTAGTAATTCTGCTGAATGCTGATTGTGGCCAGGAACGATACAAGCATTATCTCTTTTAATTAGTCACACATCTCTGCTGGAACGTCTTATTCATTCGTTCAATAGGCATTTCTTGAACGCTCACTGGGGTGAAGTTCACCCAGCTAGTAAGTGGAAGAACTGGTATTGGAACCCGATCTGTATGACGTCATAGCTCCACAACCTTTCTGCCAAGTTGTGTGTGGATAAGAATTTACTATTTTATATCTTCGTTTATCCTTTTGGCCTATCAGCATTTATTGAAGCTCTACTTTGTGTCTTAATCAGGGTGGAAATAGGGGTGGATCCAAGAACACTATAAAGTTGAGTAGGACTGGAGGTAAACCGCAAGCTTTCCAGGCAGAAGGGACTTGGAGAGCAAAGGGCTGAGTCTTGAGAGGCACAGCACCTTCTGGGGAAAGAGACAGAGCTTGCAGCGGGTTAGCCAGGTTTGTGAAAGTGCGCGACCATGCGGACTTCCCAGCAAGGCATTACACTCTTCTGCATGAGAACAGTCCAAATTCCATTTGCTGGGTCCCACAACGTTTCTGCAAAAGTTGTTCCCACCCGTGGCCGCGTTGCATGTCGGGATTTGGAGTTGAAAAGGCTGGGGTTTGATGTTTCCACGTGGCGGTTGCAGCTTGACCCGTGGCACTCAGGCGCCCTCCTCTCGGGTCTGAGGAGTCTGTCATTTCTTCCCTCTACCAGAGCGAAAACCAATTTTAAAGAATTTTCGAAAATTTAGACTGGAGAAGGAAAAGAAGACAGCAACTCAGTAAAAGTTTTCAATTAAGTGAATGTACATTGTAGAAGATGATGTTGGACTGCCCTACAAATCCACAGGAAGAAAGAGAAAAGAGGGGTGAGTAAACAAGACTAGTAATTTGAGCGAGCACGCACAAAACGGGGTGGCTTGGGAGTGTGATAAGGATATAGAAAGTAGATCCAATTGTAAAAATTTTAAATGACTCCTGACAGCTGGGAAAGTGTGAGTGGTAAATCCACTAAGGTTTTGATGGATGGGTCTTAGGGAGAATCCTCAACCTGCTGTTAATTTTTGTTTGTTTTGTTTCAAAATTTACTCAAACCAACAACAACAACAAGGAAACAAAAATAGGCAAAGGATTTCAATAGACATTTCTCAAAAGAAGATACACAAATGACCAAAAAGCACAAGAAAGGTGCTTAGGGAAGTGCAGATCAAGAGTACAACGAAATATCACCTCACAGTCGTTACGATGGCTGCTATCAAAATAAACAGCAATAACAACAAAAAACCCCGAAACAAAGCAAGAAACAAAAAACAGAAAATAAACATTAGGGAGGATATGAAGAAATGGGAACCCTTGTGCCCTGTTGATGGGAATGTAAAATGGTACAGGTGCTGTGAAAAACAGTATGGTAGTTCTTCAAAAATGAAATATAGAATTACTATGTGATCCAGCAATTCTGCATCTGAATATTAACCCCCCAAAAGTGAAAGCAGGGGTCCAAACAGATAGGTATTCACACATGTTCATAGCAGCATTATTCACCATAGTTAAAATATGTAAGCAACTCCAGTATCCATTAACAGATGAATGAATAAGCAAAATATGATATATACATAATGGAATATAACTCAGTCTTAAAAAGCAAGGAAATTCTGACATATGCTGCAACAATGGATGAAATTTGAGGACATTATGCTAAGTGAAATAAGTCAGTCACAAGAAGACAAGTAGTATAGAATTCCATTTACATGAGATATTTGGAGTAGTCAAAATCATGTAAACAGAATGATGGTTGCCAAGGGCTGTGGGAAGGAGGAGAAAATGAAGAGTTATTGTTCAATGGATGTAGAGTTTCAGTTTCACAACAGGAAGAGTTCTGTGGATGGATGGTAGTGATGGTAGCACAACAATGTGAAGGTACATAAGGCCATTGAACTGTGCACTTAAAAATTGTTAAAATAGTAAATTTTATGTTATGTATACTTTACTGCAGTGAAGAAAAATTGGGAAAAATGTTTCTGGAAACCACAAATTAATAAACCACAAAAACCCAACAGACACACAAACTATATAACACAGTAAAAATTCCTTCCCCTACTTCTCTCATTCCACCCAGCACCCAGAGGTATAACCATTATTAATCATTTACTGGATATTCTTTCTATTTCCCTGCTAAGCTTATGTATATAGGTGTAGTGATATATGCCTAAACTCACATATACCATATTTATGTATTCAAACATATATTTATGCATTTGTATTCACATATACTCAAACACAGAATTTGTTTAGAGACAAGATACTATATAATTATATGCTGGTTCCCCAGAGCCAGTGTGCCTGGATTCCATTCTAGGCTCTAGCTATTTAATCTTGAGCAGGTTACTCAATCTCTCTATGCCTGGATAGCCTCATATTTGAAGTGGGATAATAACAGTGCTTACCTCATAAGGTTGTTGTGAGGATCGAATGAGATACTATATGAAAAACTCTTAGAACACTGTTTGATGCAGTGTCAATGCAATTTAAGTATTAGCTATTATTATGATGATGCATTTTTTTGTCTGCAACTTAATTTTTATTCAATATATGGTGGAATGTTGATAAATCTAGCTATTTTCAATGATTCCATAACATTCTGTAGTAAGAACATACCATTATTTATCCAACTATTTCTTGACTGATAAACATTCAGATTTCTTTTTGCAGTTTTTGCTATTTCAAATATGCTGCAAAAAGCACCCTCCCATTGATGTCTTTATAAATTTTCATTTATTTCTTAGAATTTGTTGTCTTTTTTTTTTACATTTATTTTTGTTTGTTTGTTTCATTTTGCGGAGGTAGGTAATTAAGTTTATTTATTTATTTGTTTTTAATGGAGGCACTGGGGATTGAACCCAGGACCTCATGCATGCTAAGCACACACTACCACTGAGCTACACCCTCCCTTCTTCTTAGAATTTGTTCTTAAAGGAGAGTGACAGGTTCAAATTGAATTCAATTCCCATGGCAGGGGATATGCTGTTGAACGCACTGGGAAGCTGGCTGATGCTTAATTGCTCATAGTGTTATATTTCTTAATGGCTATCCTTGGAAAATGTGCCATTTTGCCCTGACACTGGCGATGTGTGAGTGCGTGTTCCCCTACCGCCTTACAGAGTGTTTTCAACAGTTTGGACCTTCTGTCAATCTATAGGGGAACAAAGTGTCGTTTTAATTTGCATTTCTTTAGTTTGAGTGAAGTTGAATGTATTTTTATGTGTTAAAAGACTACATGTATTTCTTAGGTTAACAGTCAGTTCTGGTTCTTTTTGCAAATTAATATATCTCCATTAAGGTTTTGAAATGAGTCTTGAATATCAATCAATTTAGAATGTAAGCTCTGTGAAAATTAGGCTTTCTGTTTTATTCACTGCTGTATCCCAGGTGTCTACAAGAGTACCTAGCACATGGCACATGCTCAGTAAATATTTGCTGAATGAATGACTGGTTGCTGCTAGTCAGTAAGTGAGAGTCTCACCAACTTTAGACAAATAAGTAAAAGTAATTTCTGGCTCCTCCAAGCTGAGGCTTGTTTTTTTGTTTTGTTTTTTAATTGTGGTAAAATACTCATAACATAAAATCTACCACCTTAACCATTTTAAGTGTATGGTTCAGTGGTTTTAAGTACCTTCACATTGTTGTGCTACCATCACCACCATCCATCCATGGAACTCTTCTCATGTTGCAGAACAGAAGCTCTGTATCCATTAAACAGTAACTTTCCATTCTCTTCTCCTCTTGGCCCTGGCAACCACCATCCTACTGTCTACATGATGTTCACTGCTCTAAGTACCTCATATAAGTAGAATCATATAATATTTGTTCTTTTGTGACTAGTTTATTTCATTTAGTATAATATCCTCAAGTTTCATCCATGTTATATAACATGTCAGAATTTCCTTCCTTTTTAAGGCTGAATAATATTCCATTGTATGTATATACCACATTTTGCTTATCCATTCTTCTGTTAGCGGACACTTGGGTTGCTTCCGTGTTTTAGCTGTTGTGAATAATGCTGCTATGGATATGAGTGTATAAATATCTAAGTCCCTGCTTTTACTTTTTGGGGGTTATATATCCAGAAATAGAATTGCTGGATCCCATGGTTTAATTTTTTGAAGAACCACTATTCTTCACTTTACATTGCCACCAACAGTGCACAAGGGTTCCAATCTCTCCATATCCTCACCAACACATGTTATTTTCTTTAAAAATTTTTAAATTTTATAATGTCCATCTTAATAGGTGTGAAGTGGTATCTCTTGTGGTTTTCATTTGCATTTATCTGATGACTAGTAATGTTGAACATCTTTTCGTGTGCTTATTGACTATTTGTATATCTTCTTTTGAGAAATGTCTATTCAAGTCATTTGCCCTTTTTAAAACTAGTTTTGTTGTTGTTGTTGAATTGTAGGAGTTCTTCACATATTCTGAA